TAGCCATATTTAAACTCTAGCTGCAGCTGGCTGCTACGTGCTGACTATTTTCCAGTATATTTTTCCAAACAGTACAAACATCATAGCAAATATTTGCTCTTAAAACCCCCTCCACCCACCCTCAACAAGTTTTTTAAGGGAATGTTGCAGTCTACCCATGAAACATCACACTTCACACTAGACAGGGCAAGGATACCAGACTGATTCAAAGATGAGGCTAAAAATGACACTGAAAAGCAGCTTCTTCCCTGCTTCCCTTGAATCAGGCAAACTGTGGGTATGCTATAGTTCGAGGCCCTCAATGGGAAATAAGGGTCAGTGCCTAATTATCATAAGGAAATACTGATTTTCCACATGTTTGTGACAAGTTTAAAACTGATATTAATGAGCTGTTGCAAATGTTCCAGGTCAAATGAAGGGGACTAGTCAGAGGAAATGGACAGTGAATGGGAAAGTTGGATAGGAGGAAACCGACTATGAAGCACAAAAAGGTAAAATAGGGAGGCGATGGGGAGTTGGATCCTGGCTGATCTGGACCATGAGAAACCGTTATTTTGTTTCTTTTTTTTTTCCTTTATTTTTGTTTGCATTCAGCACCACTGACGTTTGTTTTGTGCTGTCTGCTGTGGTAAAGCTTTTGCTTGAATATTTATCCTCTCCCAGTGCTGTGTTTCCAATAACTCTGCACTGATTTTTACAGATATGCAGTTGCTGTACCTCCTTTAATAATGGGCTTCTGCTTATAATTAGCCTGTATTAAATGGTTTGATAGCCCAACACATTTTGAGATGTTTGTTACCACTTACTTCTTTATCTGTGGGCTTAGCACTTGTGCCTTGTCCTTGTTTCTGTACAATAGAATAAGGTACTCTCTGAAGGTGCTGTAGGCCAAAAGAGCAGGAAAGCTACATGGTGTGTTATGATATGCAGGGAATTATGCAAGTACTTCCATTAATGCTCACGATTATTAGCCGAATCCCACATTCCTCAGTCTTTACTCAAGCTAAACTTCCATTGAACTCAATGGGAGTTTTGCTGTAACAAAGATGTCAAGATTTGGCCCTACCCCCCCAAACATACACACGCACGCTCTCTGTCTTGCTCAGACGAGTTTACTATAGGTGAAGCTGGTAGCACCACCTAGATAGTAAAGGTTGTCTAGTACTTTCCATTACTCTTCATTCGTTCCTTACAACTACCAGACTTCAGCTGTTCCGGATGAAAATTTCCATGGTGGGTATTTGCCTCAGGCTGGTTTTGTTTTAGAAAATTTCAGCTGAAACAGTCCAACCACTTCCAGAAATGAAATTATGGGAAAATATGTTTTGCCCATATCAACAAAATTCATACAACCATTGACTCAAGCTAGCTGCAGTGCTTCCAGGCTTTGGACCAGGGCCTCCTCCAGGCTTTGGGAGGGGCGGGGATGACACTCCAGTGTCAGGGTTGTGCCTTTTTCTGAGCCACCCAAATGCGTCCAAGCTGTAAACATCTGAAAAAAATCTCACTTTGAACATTACTCCTAGGGGAATTCTGCACCACTAGGCGCATGCAGAATTCATGTCCCCCGCAGATTTCATTCCTTCCCGCCGAAAAATTACTTCTGATGGGGAAGCAAAAGGAAGCTGCAAGAGTGGTAAATCACTGAGGGAGGGCAGAGCTGGGGAATGCCTTCTATCATGCACCAGGCTTAGCTGCTCCTCCCAGCTGAGCTGTGGAGGGGGGGGGGGGCTTCCTCTTCCTCTAAAAGGAGCAGCCGGGACTGAGTCAGACCCATCCCCAGAAACCTTCCCTGATACTGCACACCCCCCTGCTTCCTGCCCCCATTACTTCTCAGCCACGGGGGGAGGGGGGTCACTGTATGGGGAGCTGCTATCCCAGCCCCCTGCATCTGGACCCCCCCATATGCAGAGACCCACACTGATCATCACCCCCCCACCAAACCCCCTGCACCTGGATCCCTACCCTGCCTTTCCAAAGTCACGCTTTTCCTGTGTTTGCACAGGCCACACAGCTAGCATGTAATCAAAAAAACTCCTGAACTGGTTAGTTGTAGCTAAGGACTTGTTGACATCGAGCAGTGATGTGGACTGGGGGTGGGGGTGGGGTGAGTTCGAAAGCGCACGAATAGGGTGCACATTAATGGGCCACATATACCCTGCTGACACACACTAAAGGTTCACTAGTGCCCTTTAATGAAGCACTGTTTGAAACAGTACCATGCTGAAGCACACTAGGAACCATTACCAAAAGAGTACACTATACACCATTTTCTTCTGTAATTAATAATGTATATTTTGTGCACTTTTATATATTACATTACATTAGTCACTAGTCTACACAATGAGAGATCCCTAAAAAAACCCTGATTTTTGGCCATTTAAATAAAATTTAAATGGCTAAAACTAGCCCCCCAAATTATATTTATAAACCCTGCAAAACAGAAGCCGTACACATAGAATCATAGAATATCAGGGTTGGAAGGGACCTCAGGAGGTCATCTAGTCCAACCCCCTGCTCAAAGCAGGACCGATCCCCAATTAAATCATCCCACATACTACACATTGACCAATCTGCCCCACACAGCATAGAAGTGGAATGCATGTATGTATTTATCAATCATTAGTAATCATTTCTAGGCTGTAACTTTACAGGAAAAGGTTTCTCATTAGACATGAAATTCTTGAGCAATTTATTTCAAAAGCCACTTGGAGATTTTGTTTCATAGCATGAAAAGTTAACACATATGTGAAGGCCATGGAAAAGTGGGCCTTTGAAAATTCCGCTCCATTATCAGTCAGAGCACCCTATCAGTGCTCAGAAAATAATTAAACTCCCTTTTAAAATATCAGTTTGAGTGTTTTTGCAGTTTGCACTGAGCCATATCTGTGAAATGATGTTGCAGTGCTGTGAAATCCCAGATCTTTGTTTTCATAGCTTTTGAATAATGAGTGTGTAGCTTAGGCTAAATAGCAATTGCAAGAGTAATAGCCAGCACCCTTTAAAGCAAAGGACAGAAAACATGGTAGTGGTATCCTGTAGGTGTTATGCTGATTCAGGGATGCTGCATTTAATGTTTTTGTTGTGTCAGCCTGTTTGAAAGGGCAGCTTATCATTTGAAATGTGACTCTTTGAATTAGAGCGGGGCATTTTTTTTGGACAATAATCACGAGCCTTTCTTTGTCTAACTAAATACAGCAACAAAAAAAATGCACTGGTAAGGTTTGGGGAGGGGGGCGGTTTCTGAGCACAGTGTTTGTGCACTTACAGCCAAAAAGCAATATCTTTTAATACTATTTTTTATTTCAGTGTTCAAATATGAAATTCCTGTGAAAAACACTCAGGGTCTTTGGCTTTCAAATAAACACAAAGAACACTCATGACTCTAATGGAGTTGCTCCAGATTTACGCTGTGCTGAATGAGAGCAGAATTTGGCCCACTACTTAGTCATCTGTGCACATCATTGGTTAAATTTGGGCAGCTGTAAAGACACAACTGACTGGTTTCAGTTCTGATTAGAAACAAAATTGTTATACATTATAATTGCAGTAAGGATTTATGATAGTCTTCAAAGGCTCTGATCAGAATTATGCTGAGTGCTGTACAAACACAGAAGAGCGAATCCCTGTCCTGAACCTAGATTTCCAAAAGTGACTAGTGACCTCAGTTTTAGGTACACAACAGGGAAGGGGCCTGATTTTCAACCAGCAGTATTTATTTGAAGACTACTACAATTATCATTCTATATGCATTCAGAGCTAGGGCCGTATTTACTGACCATCATGGCTAAGATGTTTCAAAAGCAGAAGGGGAATTATAGGAGTCTGGCAACCTCTCTCCTTCCTACCTCTGAGTCTTTCAAGATGTGCATCTTAGCAGCTCCAAAACAGACCACCATCAGGGCTGTGAGCAAGGTCACATGTTTTCACACAACAGAGGACTGAAAGGGACCTCTAGAGGTCTTCTAATCCAATCCACTGCAAGCAAGGCATGACCAAGTATTATCTAGACCATCCCTAAAAGGTATTTGTCTAATCTGCTCTTAAAATCCTCCAATGACCAACCTACACAATTTATTCAAGTGCTTAACAACCCTGACTGGAAGTATGCTGCCATTTAAGCCCATTGCTTCTTGTCCTAGCTTCAGTGGGTAACAAGAACAATTTTTCTCCTGCCTCTTTGTAACAACCTTTTCTGTACTTGAGAACTGTCATGTCCCCACTCAGTCTCCTCTTCTCCAGACTAAACAAACCCAAACTTTTCAACCTTTGCTTATTATAGGTCACGTTTTCTAGACCTTTAATCATTTTGGTTGCTCTCCTCTGGACTTTATCCAATTTTTTCTACTCTTTCTTGACATGTGGCAACCAGAACTGGACGCAATACTGTATCAGCACAGAGTAGAGCAGAAGAATTATGTCTGAATTATGGGGGGGGAGCTGCTTTCAGCTACCAAAATACTGTGTGAACTGTCACACAGCATAAACCTCAAAGGGAACGTTACAATGGATAACAACCCCTAACACAATTTGCCACCATTAGTTTAGTTCATGGCCAAAATTCTGGATTAGGCAAGATTCCTTTCAGTGAAACTAGGATTTGGTCCTTAGACCACAACCTTTTTAGGACAGGCATTAAGTATGCTACTATGTAAGATATCCACAGCTAGATCTTGCTTATATGAAGAAAATAATTGCATAGTCCCTAATCCATTTTATTCTGCTATTTTAAAGTTTGAATTATTTCATCCTTGATTTGGGATCCTCTGATTTTAAATACAGAACTGCTTAGTCAGCCAACTGAGCAAAAAAATTAAATTCAGGATTAGGGAAAGAAATTCTAAATTCAAAGAGGGCAAGAAGGACTTTTTAAATGTGACTATCAATGGGGACTCCGTGGATTTTATTTCACTGGAGAAATACAACTAAATATGTATTCCTTATTTTAGTTTTTAAAATACTCCAGTAGTGGGGATTAAACTAGAAAACTTGGTGACAACTGAAAATACTAAAAGACATTTATTTGTATTCCAACATAGGCATATAAGCTACATGTTAGCACACGGCACTTTACTTGTTATTTTCTGTATATAAGCAGATCACTTTCTTGAGCATCATCAAAATCTTGCTTTTCTTTTCTAATTATATATGTACATCACACCTTCAACCTTTACGTTACCTAATTTGAACAATTTAGTGTTAAAACTTTTAGTTTTACATGGTTTTCAATTTTAGGCATGTTAAGATGGAAATAGTTGGTCAAAGGCCTTCTGGAGTCACAAGAAGTCCTATAAGAATGCCAAAACCCAAATGTGATTATGTGTTCTGAATGCATGCAAATTTAGTGAAAATGCAAGTGCAAAGTGCCCAATTTTCCTCTCTTTCAGTGGTTTTACACCAGTGGAACTCCACTGACTTCATAAGAGTTACTCCTGATTTACCCCGATGAAAGAGAATTGCAAACGAAGTACAATTCTCTACACTGACCTTTCACTGTGAATGAAAACACAAGAAAGGTTAGTAAGCTGACCACACTTCAGCAGGAACTTTTTTTGAAACAGTGTACAAAACCTTTATTCACCAATAAGTTAAAGTGCTTTCATAAATAGATGTTTAGTCTTTTGTACGCTGTTTAAGAGTATAAAGCTTTCAGTAAAAGCTTCATTTATTCCTCAGACTCTGATCCTTCCTCATCTTGACTGATTTGGAAGTAGCGCAGCTCATATGTCTCCTTATCAGATGCGACCACACGAAGCCAGTCACGAAGATTGTTCTTCTTGAGATATTTCTTTGTGAGGTATTTCAGATACCTTTAAAAAAAGGCAAATATCAATTAACATTCTCTCATAAGGCTTCTTATTGCTATCTTGTGTGTGACATGCCGGATTCAATTTTATGAATGTAACAAATACAAAAACTGCAGTTTTTAGTATACATTGAATATTTCCAAAGGTCACCGTGCCTCACACTCCTGTTCAGAAATTAAAATGGACTCTATGTATATTAACTACTTCATATGCAGAATTTCATTCCTGAAGTATCAAATTTTCGCAGTGTGTTATACTTCACTATCACACGGTGCTATGTCAGTGAAGACAGCGATGTCAAAGCACCAGAAACCGACGCTAGCACTATACTAGTTTAGTATTCTCCCCATCCTAAAAGCTTATCTACACACACAAACTGTAATCCTTAACTGTTAAAGGGGTACAATCCCCCCCAAATTCCCCAGTGTGGATGCAATTACACCAATATAAAGGTGCTTATACTGATACAGCATATTCCCCTAAATTATGGGAAATAAGCTAACCCAGTATAAGGCAACTTTATCAAACACTGACTATGTCTATCCTAGCACTTTTGTCGGTCAGGGGTGTGGTTTAATTATGCCAATGCAGGAGCTCTCTCCCCTTGGCTTAGGGCACCTACATGGGAGAACTTACAGGGGCACAGCTGTGCCACTGTAAAGTTTGTAGTGTCAACATAGCCTTAATTCACACTAGGAGTAGACTGATTTAATTATTTCTGAACAAAAATACATCACACGGCTAAGCATAAGTTTAAATTGATATAAAAACTGTGTGTAGGTCTGGTTTAAGTCACTGATATTTACATGTTAAGAAAATTAGATATTACACTATTTTCTCTCTATATATCAAAATTAGATTATATCCTGTCCATCTAATCATAATTCAGAATCAGTTGAACCATAATATGTATACAAGGACAAGAAAATCAACGATCACCTTATATATAAAAACGATACCCACCTTTTAGAGAACTGCTTCTCAGATACGACTGTGATCTTGTTCTTAAAACGTTCAATGTGAACTATGTTCCCCAGGTTTCCAGTTTTTCCATTGACCTTAACCTTCTCCTTTAGGAACTGTTCCTATTTCAATAAAAGAGGAAAAAAGGAACACTAGGGAATGGTGCCCTAGGTATGCACTAGGGAAGGGACCCTAGTCATATAGCACATGTTAAAAACCCAAATGTACTGTATATGTTATGTACATAACACAATAAAATCTTGCTGTAAGCAACTGAAACAACCTCTAACAATCTTGAATAACACTTTTAATGTAATTAATAAAATATTTCTTATCTATAAAAGATGTTTCATACTTTTGTTTGAAAATTCAAGCCTTTTTAACAAGCGTTTATGTAAAAGATAAAACTATACTGACTGACAATTGACTTTCTTAAACTCATAATAAATATACTTTGTCAGCTGTGGTCTGATCTCCATATATACTTAAACATATTATAAAGTTGTTCATTAAGAGTATGAAAAATAGAGCTACTTACAAAATTTCCAGAATCAAATATTCCATCTTCTACAGGATGGGTGAGGTCAAGGCTAAACTTCCAAGTTGATTTTTTTGACTTTCGGTCTTTCTGCTTTAAAAATAAGTCAACTAGTTATTACATATCACTCCCCCCCAACACACTTAAAAAAAACACAAAAAAACAAAAACCTACTACTATCAGGGACATCTGCATGAAAACAGAATCCTGTTTGTTAGTTTATTTGTGCTATCATTAAATGGACTCATTCACTACCCCTGGCAAGGAGTAGGCCACACAATTACCTGACACCTCCTGTTACACTGGCTCTTAAGGCCTAGGCTAAACTTATGTATTTTATTGCACTGGTATGTCAGAAAGGGAGTTTCATGTTTTACTAAAACAACGGGAGTCTTATGACACCTTAAAGACTAACAGATTTATTTGGCCAAATAAATCTGTTAGTCTTTAAGGTGCCACCCGACTCCTTGTTGTTGTTTTTTTTTGGATACAGATTAACACAGCTACCCCTCTGATGGTATACTAACATAGCTATGCTGGTAAAAGCCCTACTGTAGTTGCAGTTTCACCAGTGTAACTTCACTTATATTAGTAGAGCTCATGCCAGTACAAGCACTTTTATACAAATATAAGAGTTTAATTATACTAGCAAAGCCTTCTTGGTGTAGGCCTTAGTATCTTTTTCTGTATATATCAGTGATTGGACTTCTCATTACCAGTGTACTTACGGTAAGTACTGAAAGCCCTTACCAAACTGGCATTAAAAGTCAACTTGGGCTAACTCCCAAAATAGAAGGTACAGCAACAAAGCATGCTCAGAGGATGGAGACTTCAGGCACCCATGTCTGAAAATGTGAACCAAAACAGGCGCCTTCACAGAAGATTCTTGGACGTACTGAGCATCCCCAGCTCCATTCAAATGAATGGGATCAGGGAGTCTTCAGCACCTCTGAAAAAAAAGCGGGCCACTTCTACTGAGGTGCTTAAATATGGATTTATGTGCCTAACTTTAGGTGCTCATGTCCGAGCACCCCAGCCGGCGCACAGAGGGGTCGAGGCACAGTTGAGATTTCCCAGGGTCCGAGTCAGGCTACTGAAAGACCCGGTTTGAACGCGCTGGGCAGTTACATGGTGCCTTTCACCTTAGGACCTCAGCGCCCTCCGCGAGGCTAATAACCACCTCGGCACGGCAGCGAGGCGTTAGCTCGACTTCGGGGAAACTGAGGCACGGACGCAGTTAGGCGTTTAGCCCACGGTCATCCGGCGAGCTCTGCAGTCCTGATTGCTCCCTTCATGCGCTACCCCAGCGGCGGCCCTGCTCCCCCTGCCCTCAGCGTTCTGCCTCGGGATAGCGTCAGCCCGAACGTAAGGCGGGGGAAGGACCTGTCCCGCTGGCCGCCGGGCTCCAGGCTAGGGGGGGCGAGGAGCTAGGCCCCACTGAGGCCCATTGGAGCCATGACAACGGGGCTGCCCCCGTCTGCGGGCCGAGAGGGCCAGCGCAGCGCTACCGTGTCTTGCCCAACCCTCCCGCGGCCGCCGGGGTGCCACGCGCCCGGCCCTCTCACTCACCGGCGCCATCCCGCCAGCCCGCGCTCAGGCCTCTCAAAAGGCGGAAGCCGCTGCCTCGCTGGGCTTTTATGTCTAGTGTGGGTGTGACGTCATCACGCAGGAGCGTGTGGCGTAAAGGAGGGACACGTGGCCGAATGCTGCGTCACAGCCTGCGAGGGGGCGGAGCGTGGGCGTTAGCAGTGGCTGCGCTCTCTCCGCAGGGCGCTCGCCGGCCTGTGTCATGTGGCGCGGGGAGCTGGGAGGGGCAGGGGCAGGGGCAGGGGCAGGCTCAGCGCCTCTGGGAGTGGAGGATTGCGTTCCTTCTTGTTTGCATGCCACAGAGCAGGGTTGGGAGCACTGTTCCTGCTAAGCTGTGCGCGTGGACACAGATCCTAACCCCCGCCCCCCACGGCGAATACCACGCACACAACAATTGGCACAGAATATTTTTGTGTACATGACCAGAACAGAAGAGAGCACATTGGTCAAATGAAGCACAATCAAAAATTTCGCAAAAAGAAAAGGAGTACTTGTGGCACCTTAGAGACTAACCAATTTATTTGAGCATGAGCTTTCGTGAGCTACAGCTCACTTCATCGGATGTATACCGTGGAAACTGCAGCAGACTTTATATAGACACAGAGAATATGAAACAATACCTCCTCCCACCCCACTGTCCTGCTGGTAATAGCTTATCTAAAGTGATCATCAAGTTGGGCCATTTCCAGCACAAATCCAGGTTTTCTCACCCCCACCCCCATACACACACAAACTCACTCTCCTGCTGGTAATAGCTCACCAACAACCACATACCACACAACAGAACCACTAACCTAGGAACTTATCCTTGCAACAAAGCCCGTTGCCAATTGTGCCCACACATCTATTCAGGGGACACCATCACAGGGCCTAATAACATCAGCCACACTATCAGAGGCTCGTTCACCTGCACATCCACCAATGTGATATATGCCATCATGTGCCAGCAATGCCCCTCTGCCATGTACATTGGTCAAACTGGACAGTCTCTACGTAAAAGAATAAATGGACACAAATCAGATGTCAAGAATTATAACATTCATAAACCAGTCGGAGAACACTTCAATCTCTCTGGTCACGCAATCACAGACATGAAGGTCGCTATCTTAAAACAAATAAACTTCAAATCCAGACTCCAGCAAGAAACTGCTGAATTGGAATTCATTTGCAAATTGGATACTATCAATTTAGGCTTAAATAGAGACTGGGAGTGGCTAAGTCATTATGCAAGGTAGCCTATTTCCCCTTGTTTTTTCCTACCACCCCCCCCCCCCCCAGATGTTCTGGTTTAACTTGGATTTAAACTTGGAGAGTGGTCAGTTTGGATGAGCTATTACCAGCAGGAGAGTGAGTTTGTGTGTGTATGGGGGTGGGGTGTGAGAAAACCTGGATTTGTGCTGGAAATGGCCCACCTTGATTATCATGCACATTGTAGGGAGAGTGGTCACTTTGGATGAGCTATTACCAGCAGGATAGCGAGTTTGTGTGTGTGGTTTTTAGGAGGGGGGTGAGGGGGTGAGAGAACCTGGATTTGTGCAGGAAATGGCCCAACTTGATTATCATGCACATTGTGTAAAGAGTTGTCACTTTGGATGGGCTATCACCAGCAGGAGAGTGAATTTGTGTGGGGGGGTGGAGGGTGAGAAAACCTGGATTTGTGCTGGAAATGGCCCAACCTGATGATCACTTAAGATAAGCTATTACCAGCAGGACAGTGGGGTGGGAGGAGGTATTGTTTCATATTCTCTGTGTGTATATAAAGTCTGCTGCAGTTTCCACGGTATGCATCCGATGAAGTGAGCTGTAGCTCACGAAAGCTCATGCTCAAATAAATTGGTTAGTCTCTAAGGTGCCACAAGTACTCCTTTTCTTTTTGTGAATACAGACTAACACGGCTGTTACTCTGAAACCAATCAAAAATTTGTACGGAAGAAATTTTTTGCGTGCTGGGCCTGTCAGAAAATAGAGGGAACATTGGTTGGGAGGTTGGGTTTTACCCCCCTCCCTTCCCCAACTTTAAGAAACAGATTAAAGCAACATCAACAAAACAAAGCCTAGGATTGCCCCAGGAATGGTTAATTGCCAAAATGTTAAGAACTAAGAAAAAAAAAGTCAGGCTTTTTAAAAAGGAAAAAATCTTTGCACTAGTAAGGCAAATCCATCCAACCTAAAACAAAACCTTGGGGAAGTTTTTCAAAATGTTATTTAAGGTCCCGCTCCTGCCATGAGCTTTGCCCAGGTGTACCCCTAAAGCCTGGCAGAGCTCCGTGCGGGACTTTTGGGGCCTAATCTTGTAAAGAGGAAAAGGGGAGGAAGCACCTGCACTCATGCTTGTGCCCTTTGCCCTGCAAATACAAATTGTATTGCCTGAAAATGTTGAAGCAGTCACACTTTGGGCCATCATTGACATTGTTTTTTCTTGGCCCAGGCAAACTATGGCCCTTACCCTGCATTAGGCTACAGCAGGGATTGGCAACCTTTCAGAAGTGATGTGCCGAGTCTTCATTTATTCACGCTAATTTAAGGTCTTGCGTGCCGCTAATACATTTTAATGTTTTTAGAAGGTCTCTTTCTATAAGTCTATAATATATAACTAAACGATTGTATGTAAAGTAAATGAGGTTTTTAAAATGTTTAAGAAGCTTCATTTAAAATTAAATGAATACAGATCTTATCAGTTTAGTGTGATCCTTGCCTTTGTTTTTCCTTGCTGAGTTTTCCAATGTCTGGCACGTATTTGGATACTTTCAGCTGCACAGAGGCTTCTGAATGATCAGTTGTTAACCAGCTCCAATAGGGACAGCGGAGAGATTTCATGTGTGAACGTACAGGTATGTGGATCCAAATGCTGAAAGCATTGCAAACACAATTTTCTTCAAACAGTTAAATTTAACTTGCAGGGACGTCCAGCAGGTCAGAATAGAGGCCCCATGATCTCTCTCAGTAGCTTCAAGTGCACTCCGCAGATCTCCAAACTTTGATGCCCACAATTCTGAGCTTTTTAACTGAATGAGCTGCATTTCGAAAACTTCAACACCCACCCACTGAAATACAAACAAATCCAAGTCACTTTCGTTGAACTTTTCAGATTTAATTAGAAAAGAAAGCATTGGGCCAAACTGCTGGAAATCTTGAAATCTGTCAGAAAATTCTGATTCCAGTTCTTGCATGTACATTCTAATCTCAACGTCAAATGCAGAGCGCTGTTCCACGTGGCATGACAGTGATGTAAGCAGCAAACCAGGACTTAAAAATATCCCAGCACAGTGGTGCTGGAACAATTTTTTAAGGTGGGGGTGCTGAGCTGTGCCCCCTCTTTCCCCTGTCTGTACTCCTCACTGCCGCAGGCTGGGGTCAGTGGGCCACAACTGGGGGCAGCTGCAGAGCCCCAAGCTGGCGGCTGGAACCCCAGGCCATCAGCGGAGTTCCCAGGACCGGTGGCAGGGACCTGGGGCCAGCAGTGGGCTGAGCGGGACTGGCGGACGGTACCCCAAGCCAGCAGTGGAGCCCCTGGGACCCGTGGCCAGGACCCAGGCAGTGTGAGTGCCGCTGAAAATCAGCTCGCGAGCTGCCTTTGGCACACGTGCCATAGGTTGCCTACCCTTGGGCTACATTAACACAGACCTTAGCACCTTTACAGCCATCCCACTGATTTCAGTGAGACTCCACAAAGATAGAGGGCTCTGTTGTGTTAGCAGCTCCTATGCAGCACTCAGCCTACAAATCATTTTCCTGTACTGTGTGCCTTTCGCAGCCAGCAAAACGTCCTCAATAAGCTATAATGACAGGTTCTAATCCTGAAAACTTCTACTCCTTGAAATGGTGAAACTTTTTCTCTCTCATCCTCAACTCCCCCAAACCATCTTTCACACCCTCTGTTGTAACATATAGTCACCCTCTCTCTGACTGGAATCCATGTAAAGTGGTGACCTGCTGTCAATACAAAAGGCTTTAAGATCAAAGTAGAGAGTGAGTCAAGACACCAGCACAGTGGGAACATAAGGACAGTTGGCAACAGAAAACAGAACAAGAAGGGGAGATAGAAACACACAACTAGAAATGGGGGAGGCTGTGGAATGACAAAATATGGAAATTCAGTCAACTTTGCAATAGGTCTGTGTTACCCTTAGATGGTGGTAGAAGAGATAGTGCTTGCATACAGGGAAAAGAAAATCTGTATCAGTTTCAAATAGATTAGCACTAAGGGACTGTTGCAGCAGGACAAAGGGCCATTGGACCACACTTAGGCTGGGAACAATCCCTATATGGTCACAAAGTGGCAACACAAACTCCCCATTTATCTATATAGCATAAGCTATAGCTATATATCATAATATTCCAGGAACCTGACTCTGGAGCTTAGAATAACTGTACTCAGTGTGAAGCAATGGAACCAGCTACAAGCATGGTTGAGAGCTCTTCTTATTCAGAGTATCACCAGGTTCAATTGTTACCAGATTTTGTGGTCTGTCACTGCCCAACTCTTAAGGTCTCAGCATTTTTGACTTCTTTTACACACATAACTCTATGAATTACTCCTGTGACAGGCTAGTACAGGCTTTCAGCTACTAAAAGTTAATGTCTACATGTTGCTTTAAATTATTCCTTAACTTTACATACTATAATGACAGAAGCCCACCCCGACCCCTAACATTTCTTCTCTCCTGATCCCCACAAAGGTCAGGGTTGTAGCTTGATTGCTCCTGTATCTTTATCTTCCTTCCCACCAAGTCTCAGTTTCCCCTCCATTCACCTCTGAGCATCCACTAGGTCCAGTTTCTTCCTGTATGTCCCAAGGTAATAGAAAACTGTCCTTTTAATTTCCTTCCAACTTTCTCCTTCATGATTATGATCTGGAAAAACCTGTTAGAAACACTTCGGACAGCATATATCAGGGGGCTATTGTGATGGGTTACCCCCTCCCCCTGATATACTGGGGTACCACTGAGCCCGCCTGTTCCATCAGCCTGGGCTCCCTTACCCTGTCCTGCTGAGCCAGGCCCTCAAGCCTCCTCCAGCACACACAGGTAGGCACACACCCAGTACTCAAGTGCACACCCACCTCTGGAGTGCAAACCCAAAATATCATCTTGCGCTGCACAGAGAACTGTACAGC